CTCTGACCATGAACCCACAGCTACTGTGCACCAGTCACACACTGTTCTTTAAGCTTCAAATTTCCAGTTGATCAAACATCACTTATCAGTCCTTACCTTTAGATCTGACCTCTCTTCTTCCTGTCTTTCCTAGCTTTCTCCATCTCTGAGTGAAGTTGGCTCTCTTTTTTCTCTCTCCCTGTGAGATGCAGCAGCTGGACCTGTGAGACAAACTTCACACAAACAGTTTGTGTGTTGGCTGATTTTTGTTGAGCTGATAGATGCTATATTTGAAATTACCTGCCACTTAAAAAAATCTTACTCTTTATGCTCCTCTTCACTAGAGGTACATGCTGAAGTACCACAACCGCAACTAAGGGACACCTGCAGTCATTCTGGTGTTGTGGCAAACCCCCGCCCCCCCAAAACAAAACAAAAAACACAGTCCCACTTTTAACCCCTGACTTTGACACGCGTCCTAACTTTTTATGGGACACCCACCGATGATGATTATTAAACGAACAGGACTGCCTTTCATGTGTTCAAAGAAAATCTATGAAAAATGAGAAACAGGAAGGAGCAGGAGAGGATGGTCATATTAGACTCAGACATGGGCACACTAGTTTAAACAGAACATTATTTATAACATGGAAACGCAGTACAGGAAAATGTAATTACTATGGAGACGAAGAAACTGTTGAACATCTTATATTACACTAACAGGAGTTAGTCCTCGGTACAGTGATGGTTAAATCCTCTGATCTGGATCATATTGAAAGACATTTTTTAAAAGCTACTTTTCGGTCCACACTCCGTACCGCTTGGTGGCAGTAATGCACCGTTTCGCTGTTTGCCAACAGACAATAAAAAGCAATGGCAGGCGGAAGAAGAAGAAGACGAAGCGGAAGTTTACGATATACTTTTAGAATATAGGAGTAAGAAGTCATACAAGTAGATTAGCTGGTCTGTTGTGAGCACAGCGGGTAAATGCAGAGTGTGTCTTTCAGAGAAAGCGGAAATGTCTCACGTTAAGGAGTATCTGGACAAAGTGACGCGTGTTTATGAACGCTACACCGAGTATGTGAGGAGAAACCCAGCTGCCACCGCGCAGCTGGAGAGTACCGTGCGGACTCTCTCCTACCTGCTCGCAGGTCAGTCGCAGAAGCAGGTTTATATACAGAGTGTTGGGATTAGGGCTCTCTGTTTAGAAGTAATCCAAAAGCTCAACTGGACTTATGATTGTTTTTTGGGACGTGAACTCTCCAGATCTTGTTAGTTTCACTTTAGCTCGGCAACACTAGCTACAAGTGCTTGTGCAGTGCAAAATGAATGACGGCATGTTTTCTTTGTTTGTTTGTTTGTTTTTTGCAGGGAGATTTACAGATTCCCATGAAATATCTGAACTAGGTAAGTAGATGTTAAGGACCAACACAGAGACTAGTTAGTTCTTTCTTGCATCAACGCCTTATATATTAGTAGGAGTTTGCCATGTGAATGAATACATAAATTCTGAAAAGCCAGAAGGCTCAGAGATCTCAGGAGAGACATTATGTTGTCTCTAATCCCAGATTATGTCCTGTTTTACATTGAGAAGCATCTTTGAAATAGTTCATTGGAGAATGGTGAGCCTCTCCCAGCCTATGCGCCAAAACATTATACTAAACAAAGTAAACATCTATTTATTTTTAGCATTATACAACTTTTTGAAATATTTTTTCCTGAGTTACATAATGGACATAAATGGTTTGCAGATTAATTATATTACAGGATACTTACTTGAGAATAATAATGGACTATAATTTATTATTAACATTGAGCTGTGAGGAAACTTTACAGGTTATATTATCACTATGCATTCTTTTCAGTTTTCTAAGCATTATGTGTCCACAAATGAACATACTGTATATAGGTGTGTACTATTCAAATATGTTCGTCATCGCTTTGTATCTTTTTAGTGTACTCTGCCTCCAATCTCCTGGTGCTATTCAATGACCACATTCTGCGCAAAGGGCTGAGATGTACCTTCCCTGTGGTGAGCTCTGCTTTCATTCAAACAAAACTCAGTTCTCACAGTACAGTAGAAAAGAAAAGCATTTACTCTCTTTGCAGAAGAGTGCAGTGAAATTGAAATGGCTGTCCTTTGTGGTGCAGCAATAAAAACTAGAAATTCTAAAGAGATGCTTAAAAAAAACTTATGGTCTTAGTCTATTGTTACCATGATCAGTTTTTATAGTTTTAGTGACCCTGTAGGATTTACTAGAGCACAATAGGACACATACACTGTATTGCTAAAGTATTCACTTACCCATCCGGGCCATTGAATTCTGTGGTTTAAAGCTCGCTGCCACTGGACACTAGAGTGGTGGCAGTCTGACTGCACTGTGCCGAGTGCAAAGTTTGGTGGAGGGGGGGGGATTATGGTGTGCGGGTGTTTTTAAGCACTCAGCACCTTAGTTTCATTAAACTCTTAATGCTTCAGCATACTGAGACATTTTGGATATTTTCATGCTCCCAGCTTTGTGGGAACAGTTTGGGGATGGCCCCTTCTGTTTTAACATGACTGTGCACCGGTGCACAAAGCAAGGTCCATAAAGACATGGATGAGTGAGTTTGATGTGGAAGAACTTGACTGGCCTGCACAGAGTCCTGACCACACCTTTGGGATAAATTAGAGCGGAGACTGTGAGCCAGGCCTTCTCGTCTAAATATGTGTCTGAATATCCAGCTGTAGCTGCTTAAGGCTGATTCCAAAGGCTCCATAATGCCCGGCATAAAATGATCATTAAACCAGATTGGTACAAAGTAGTTTTTGGTCTTTATACTTTTGTACTCCCTTCATAAACACTATAGTCGGGTGATTAAATTGTGCCGAGAACTTAGTACTCCACCCTGTTTTCCAAATATGTTAACTTCTGGTTTTTAAAACTAACATTGCGGCAACCAAAACACTAACACTGAGGCTCAAATAGATGGGCTGAGAAACCAATGGCTAACATCACCATGGCTGCATCCATCTTTTACTGTACGGTTCCTTCAGTAAAGAAACTTTACAAAGACTTCAGAAACTGTGCATAGGATGTTGTTCTGGGAAGAAGTGAGGGTTTCATCCTTTTTCATCTAATAAGTCGTCCATCCTTTGTGTTGTGGTGTTTCTAGTCCATCTCTCAACAGAGGCTCCTGACGTGGCTGTCTGTGCTGGAGTATGTGGAGGTCTTCCTGGAGATGGGGGCCTGTAAGCTGTGGGGTGAAGTTGGACGATGGCTTGTCATTGGACTTATTCAGATTTTTAAGTATGGCTTGGAAACTTGACTTTGATTTGAAATTATAAAAACACTGATACTGATTTTGCACAGGCTACATTTTAAGTATTTTTGGAAAATGGAAAAGTAAAAATTACTACTGTACATGTTCAAAAGGAGCTGCAAACTAAACTGTCACTCATGCAGGTACAACATGCCGTTTACAAGCAAAACAAGTCTAAATACTGTGTATGTGTGCAGGCAAACTATGTGTGTCTTGACCTCAGTGCATGACCTCACTCGACAAACAAAGACATTTTAGAAGTATACTTCCTGACTTATTCTGAGTCCTCTGTTATCAGGCAAACTCCAACGTTGCAGGTTGCTGAATACACACCGGCCTCTATTCAGGCCTGTTTATGTGGTGTATGTGCATTGTAAGCATGTATGCAATTCTTCCATAGCTCTAGGCCACTTTACTCAATAGATCGGCTGGACGTCGCGCCGCCCGAAGCTTCTGACCATCAATTAACTGACCGAGCTTCAACTCTTTAATTAGCACAAAAATGCAATGTGTATAACATGATTACAGTTGCTCCTGCAATGAAAGATTATTATGTGATTATGCTAACACCTGAAATACAGACTTTAATGTAACATCAACAGCTTCAATAAATGCTTTGATGAAATGATAAT